GAGAGAGAGAGAGAGAGAGAGAGAGAGAGAGAGAGAGAGAGAGAGAGCATGTTATAATACACCGTTATATTGTTCGTTATGGTAGCTCCAGCCCTTTTGTATGCATACACATATTGAGTGATGATTCAAATGAAACAGCGAAAAAAAAACAACAAAAACGCCAATTGCAAATGCAGAATGCAATTCGGAATATGAAATCGTCGAATGAATTACATACAAATGTGAGAATTATAAAACGTTTGCGGATTATCCATGAGAGAAAGATAGATAAATAGAGTTGTGTTGGGGTCTTATTTTCTATAGTTGATATTGATCTACTTAAAATTCTAAGGAAACCACTACAATTGATCGAACGATTTGTCGATTCGGATGAAATGAAACTCAAGTCGGTATGGCACGCGAATTGGGACGAATAGAGAGAATTACAATCGAGTTTCCACAACACGAAGACAGGATTCAATCAAGAAATAAAAGAATACAAACAAACAAGAAAAAAAATTAACCAAAGAGTAACACCAAGAAAACAACAACAAAAAACAGTGGCTTCTTATCATTAAAATCTTGTGGTCCTTCTTCTAATTTTTGTAGATTCTTCTAGCATGGTTGTGCCTTAGACCAGACTTATTGGTAAGTTCTCTCTGTCTCTGTCTGTCTCTTTTCTCTCACAACTCATTCAATTCACACCATATTCCCATCATCAATCTGCTAAACAAAACCAAATAAAAAAAACCAAACTTCCAACTTTCTATGGTTTTTTGAACAAGTTTGTTTGTTGTGTGTTTGCGTGCTATTTTTTTTCTACTTCGGTAGCACAAACGCTTTGCTTTGTGCAGTGCGCACTTTCTGCTGCTATCCAAAAAAATAATAACAAACAGCAATAACCATAACTAAAACACAAAAAAACGAAAATGTCGATATAGTAATAATAATGAAGAAAAAAAAACAACAGCAACAACAAAAACCCTTCCCGTTGTGCACATCAAATCGGGCCTAATCCATGAAATCATCCAATGTTTGCGCTTCACCTCTAACAATGTAACGTTTAAAACATAGAAGAAAAAAACTGCAACCGCGCGATGCTATCACTCTCTGTCCATTTGATATATTGTTTATTTAATATGGCTCTTCGTGTGTCTTTTGTGTGTCGAGTCGTGAATTTGCAATTGTACATCCGTGTGTGAACGCATTTCCTTCATTTGTGTGCGCTGCTTTTTTATGCTTGTTTTTTTTGTTGTTGTTGTTGTTTCAAATGAATATTTTAATTTTATTGCATTTGCTGTGTGTGGCTCTGAGTTTGTGTTGTTTTTTTTCATTCATTTTGATCTCCAGCGGCTTGTAGACTAACTCTATTGAAGTGCGACAATTTATTGACACATCGCGCCGCTGATGTGTATGCGTATCAAAGTTTCTTTTTTTTAAAGACCACTTTGCTTCTTCTTCTTCTTTAACATATTCGAGTTGAATTTTTTGCATTCATGCATTACATATTTTGCGTTGCGGCGGTTATTATAGTTGTCGGTATGCACATAAAATACGAAAAAAACCAACATCAACGAGAAGAAGTGTGTTCGTACACACATATTAACCCTTTTTTCGGTGTAAATTTAACAGCAAAACTAGAAATTTTTACCGCGGCAATTCATTCATTCATCATGACCGATCCGAAGCTCTCTGTATGCCTGCTTATATCTAATGATTAGTTGTGTGATTTTCTCTCTCGCTCTCTTTCTCTTCTCTTCACTCTTCTCTCTGCTCGTTACTAATACTTCTTTATCTTTTTCCTTTGCTGCGGCTACTGCTGCTGTAGTACAATAACACCGCGAAATATGTAATAGTAATATTGGTTTCTTTAAGAATGTATGAAGTGAAATGTCGCTGGTAATGTGTGTTTGGATATGAAGCATTTATGAATTTTGATGTGTGCAAAATGTAATCGCAGGCTATTTAGATTGGTGTGAGCAAATAAGAGATTCGTGTACGTGAATATTTTCGTATGCTATGTGGTGGCTGCTGCCAGACGGAAGACAGATGCATATCGAAAAATACCGTACACATGAGAACCGATGTAATTCGATGACTAACGAAAAAGACCTTTCTATTTGTAAAACCGAATTCAGAGAGCGAGAGCGAGAGAGAGAGAGAGAGAGATAGAGAGAGAGCGAGAGAGAGAGAGACAGAGTTAAAAACATAATGTGTATATACGTATACAGTGGAACCTCGGAAATTAGAAGATCCAGAAATTAGAATTCCTCCGAAATTAGAAGAGAATTCTCCGCTCCATTGCTGCTTCTGAAATTAGAAGATTGTCTTCTAATTTCAGAGGTACTTTTTTAAATGCTTATTTTATGCAATGCAGCTATTGTATCGAACGAAAAATATTTTAAATGGAACAAAGTATCGATTGGAATTTCTTGAATTGAATCACTATTTGTGGTTTTTTTCGAAAATTTTGAGCCTCAGCTTCAAAATCTCGAAACAAAACATATTAATGTGAATTCTATTTGAAAGTGAAAATTTTTAGGAACATTTCATCGTTAAAATATACAATCATGGTTGATTTGAAGCAAATTGAACTCAAAATCTTCTGGAAATATGTTCGATTTTCGTCCAAAAATGAACAAATTTAGTTTTTTGGATTCGGATTGCTCCAAATTTACTTTATATTCGTTTTTTTATGGAAAAAAATACATCTCCATAGCTTTTATAATCTTTCATCTCGAAATAAATGAATTGTTTTGTCTGATAATTCTTCTAATTTAATTGGAATATTATTGAAAAGAATTATTAAGGCAGAGTATCAAAAATATTGGAATCTTGTTAAAAGTATGTTTCAAAGTTATATTTTTATTTGGGAATTTCGTTCTGGTGTTACTGTAGTGTCATTTTGTTCATTTGACTGTAAAATTAATGCAAAAAAATTTGCCTCCGAAATTAGAAGAATTCAGAAATTAGAAGTACCCGAAGTACAAACACCTTCTAATTTCCGAGGTTCCACTGTATTCGAATTTGCAAGCACTACAAATAAATAAGATTTATTAATAATGAGCATGAATTGTCGGAGATTTGTGTGTGCGTCCGTGCATTAATTTCATTTCATGACCCATAAATATTATAAATTTGATGTTTGAGGCGACCAAATTAGATATAGAGGACTTAAAATGTGCTGCACATTGTTTTTATTTTGTGGTTGCTTTGTACTCGGAATGATAATTATTATGAATGATGAAAATGTTGTGATGATGTTCGGTACGCATTCGTGTGCAATGAGAGCAAGTTGCAGATTTTTCTTTTCATTATTTCTTATTTGCATTTGACCATATTACTTTTTTTTCTCTCATTCCGTTTAATGTCAGCATATCCTTTCGAAATGAGAGCTCCGATTTTGTTGCATTGAGCATCGAATCGAACGAACACTGATCCAAGCATGAAGCAAAAAAATGGTTTGAATGAACGACCGCAGGACGAGCAACGCAAAAAAGTATTATAAACAAAATGAAGAGAGAACAAAAAAGAAGTAGCGACTCAAAGCGAATGAACAATCGGCATTGGCCACCACTCGATATGAATGGAATCGCATTAAACACACATTAATGACATCATGTGCAAACGTAACTGCATGAAGTTTCATTTTCTCTCTCACTCTCTCTCGACCGCTTGCGCTTCAATCAAATCATATTTTATGCGCGCAGGATACACATATGCACATAGCACAGTGGCAATTTTTTTTCTGCTTCTTTTAAATAGTTTATTTTTTTTTATCGTATCGTCGTATGTGGAATGCAACTAAGGTACGATTGTGCACACAGGCAAAGGTCAAAGTCCATTATCAACATAAAAGAGGCCTGGTTTGCTGCTTTCATTTTTTTATACATCAGACTCTATAGTTCATACAGCAACCGAAATAAAAAGAAAAAATATATAATGAAGAATGCAAAACAATATCGTACGCATACACTAACATTTGGTGACCGCCTGGCAAGAGCCAATTACGACAACAGCGACGACGAGAAAAAAAAAACTAATTAAGACTTTTATCATAAGAAATACATTGCATTTCACGGCATACAATGAAACTAGGAGCGCTCGGAGAGCTGCACACCGAAAAAAATATAGCTCACTGTCAACAACATCTCCTCTTACACACACATATACACACTCTTGAATCAATAAGGACAAAAATAAAGAGTATATTGTGTATGACGAAGCACTTATCGATTGAACGATTGAATGTTTCTCATGTTAATTATAAATAGTGAATTTTTTTCGCTCGCTCTCTCTCTCTCTCTCCAATTCTGCGTCTGTCATGACTCAAAATGATTTATTTTGTTGCGTGCGTTTTAGGCGAATAATTTACACACCAAGAGAACCACCGAAAAAAAAGAAATAATAGAAAAGAAAGAGAGAATGGGCAGATTTCATGCAAACGCATTAAACCGCAAGGTGTTTCATACATGTCCGAATTAAGACATAGAGGAGTGAGAGATAAAGAGTGTTGGAGCCAATTTTCTTTACGTTTCAAACATTCATGTGCTAGAAGAACACAAACATATGCTATCACATATCACATCGAAAATGAGAAAGAGCTCGGCAGCATGTTGACATTATAGAATGATTTATATTTCGATGCAATTTCGCAGGGAAAACCCCAAACAGACAGCCATCCATAACACGGGCTCAGCTAATTTTTGAGCACACTTTGGTTCACATATAAATTTGTGCAAAATGCACTAATGATGTATTATTATTAATTAATTTATTGAACGCCATTTTGAAATTTGATATTTCACGTGTTTCCTCTCTCTCTCTCTCTCTCGTTGCTCGCTCGGATTTTAGAACATATATGTAATATCTTAATATCTTTTCGTTTATGCACACCGTTTTGACCACGGCATTTTAGTACGTGCACACGCAAAAAAAGTAGGAAAGATTTTTACTTTTTTTTCTGTTATTTTGCGTTCGCATCTTTCGCTCGATCGTTCAATTCGCACAATTCGACGTGGTGTTGTTGTTTTCTTCTCTCCTCTCTCCGCTTTTCATCGATATGTCTTTATTAACAGTTGCGGCCATTAATGCGTGTTCAATACACGATGATTTATTTATACGTGTGCATTATCTGTAGAGATATGCACGTTAAAGGTGCTATAGGTGTTAAATGTTCCATATTTAGTTCATTTCACGTAAAATTACATTGTACGTACATAAAGGGTTGTATATAGTGTATATGCACACTTTGCTTGCATCGTGTGTATGCACTTTTTTTTTCTTTTTTAAATGCTTTGTGTGTTGTACTTACCCGTCATCAGTAGTTGTTGTCTAATACACGAAAAATCATGTGGAAAATTTGAAATCAAAGTTAGTGAATGCGAATTGCGTGATAGAGTAGAGTAATAAATAGATGAAGGGGAAAAAATAGGCAAAGCCGATATCGATTCATAGAAATTGCGTTTATTTTTTCTTTCATCTACATAAATTCAGTCTCTCTAGCTGAAGACCGAAATCAACTTACTAATTTTGTTGTTGTTCGTACCTTTTGTAGTTATTGCGGTTGGAATATCTAGCGATGTTTCATGTATAGATGAAAAGAGAGAAAGAGAGGAGATCAATTCGCTATTTTCGATAGGCATCGATGTTAAAGACATGACTCGTAACATTCGCAACATGAACAACGGTTGATATTCCGTTAACATTTTAACAACGGCAATCACAATAATTTTTGTTCAAATTGAAATTTTCAGCACTCGATAGATTCTTCTCGCGCGCACATACACAAACACAAACACACACATATATATCTCGAATGGTGCCATTAGTCAGGCATGTTTTCGTGTCTATGAGCTCGCTTGATGTGGCCCCAAAATGCTTCTAATCTTAATTGCAGTTTTGTTCTTGGTAATTCGTTTTTCGGTTTGTTGTTTGGCATATGGATATGTTTGATACGTTTACAACGTGACCTTTTCAGGCAGCAGCCACTCATTTGGAATTGACAGGGCGAAAAATAAGAATGCTTGAGGCAATGCTTTTAAACCGTTTGACGCATTGTTCGTTTGGTCAGCGAATCACTCGAAAATCGACAAATAATCTCTAATTAAGAAAACAAAATTGTTTGACTGTGTTTACATGTGTGTGTGTGTGTATGTGTATATGATATGGGCTCGTATGTGTGAAAGGTGCAGAAAGAGATGAGGCGAGTGTAATTAACCATGTTTGATGACAACAGTAACAACAACAGAAAATGAATGCAACAGTTGTTTGGTTGATGATTTTTGCAGTCACTTAATGCATCCGATTAATTGTTCAACTGTAACCCGATTCTTGTTGTGTGTGTGTGTTTGGCGAATGAAAAAAAGGTTTGATCCGCTGGTTATGAATCAGTTTAATTTTTGTGTGTGCTTGTACCGATTCCAAACCAATCTGAACAAAGTAATTGATTTCCGCAAACGATTTTGTAACCACAGTTTCAATATATAATTTCGATTGTGTTTTGATTTCTTTTGAATTTACTTTCTCTAATCAATGATGAAATTAATCCGATAGATTAACATTCAGGTACCATTTCGTTCGACCTTTTTTACTCATTACATAATAGAAAAAAATGCGTCTAATAAATGTTTGTATTTGCATTGATTGTTTACAGGGAGATTTGGATGAAGAGATTCCAGAATCGTGTTCGTCGTCAGATGATGACCTAGAGCTTGATGAAACAAATTTAGGCGAAGGTTTGTTCATTGCAAATAACTTGATGACTTCGTTTGTGTCATGTTTAATTCAAATATCGATTGCATTCTATTTTAGAAGAAGAATCGGAAGAGGAGGATGAGGATGGAGATGATGAGGGGCGAACAGATGACGACGACGAAGACTGTGAGGAAGACGAAGGTATTGTTATTTTTGTTCAATTTCAATTCGAAATATATCTGAGAAATTGTTCTTGTCGAAATAATTTGATTGTTTTTCATGATTTTTTTTAGAAAATGATACTGTTCCTGTTTTACGGAGTGCTAGTCTAGCCCTAACCGATGCTGCCGAAGAGCTGAATCGAATGCGAACAGACACAAATCGAGATCGAAATCTGCTGTCGCGAACGTTGATTGCAGCCTGTGCAGATAATGATGTAAACACCGTCCGCAGACTTTTAGGCGATGGAACGAATACAATTAATGAAGGCACCGACGACGGTGAATCATTATTATCGTTAGCATGTTCAGCCGGTTACTATGAATTAGCACAAGTGAGTTAATTGTTGCAGTAAAAATCGTCAAGCGCCACAACGCACAATTCCCTTCCTACATTCACATTTGTGTGTGGTTCCATATGGGTATTGCAACTACCATAAAATATATGTATTTCATCAAGTTTATCAAGCTCTTTCCAAGTTTATGCATAGTGTTGAACTTTTGTTCAAGCTCTACCATCGAAATGTACAGTAAAATAATTTACGGGCACGTAAGATGGCGTTTTTTCTGTTCAAAAAAGTTGCAATATCCCTTTGTGTGGTTCATTTATTTAATTCATGAATATTTTCTGCGATAGGTTTTACTTGCGATGCAAGCGCAAGTGGAAGATCGAGGCCAAAAGAATGATTGTACACCTCTGATGGAAGCAGCTTCGGCGGGACATGTAGAAATTATCAAACTTCTAATATCGCATAATGCAGATGTAAACGCTCAATCGTCGACCGGTAACACGCCTCTTATGTATGCCTGTGCAGCTGGCCACATAGAAGCGGTCAAAGAACTTCTGGCCGCCGGTGCAAACATCGAAGATCACAATGAAAACGGCCATACACCTCTTATGGAAGCGGCATCAGCCGGTCATGTGGAAGTTGCCAAAGTAAGTAGTGACAAAATACGTCCATAAAAACACTTGAATTGCTCATTAAAAACACTGCTTAATATGATTAGACCCGAGATATGAATCCGAAATAAACTGTTGAGTTGTTATTTGCCATTTCAAATGGTTAAACCTGAATTCCGGTTTATTTTGTCGATTATGACCCTTTTTGATCTTATCTGATTTTAGTTTTTTTCCTTATTATTTGCCGCATCATCCATCTAAATTTATCATGCGCAAAAATAATACAATGCGAGTGTCTCTCTTATGATTTCAGATCTTGTTAGAACACGGTGCTGGTATCAATACGCATTCAAATGAATTTAAAGAAAGTGCACTTACATTAGCGTGTTACAAAGGCCATCTGGACATGGTACGATTTCTGTTAGAAGCTGGCGCAGATCAAGAACACAAGACCGATGAAATGCATACCGCACTGATGGAGGCATCGATGGATGGACACGTTGAAGTGGCAAGACTCCTTTTGGATTCGGGTGCACAAGTCAACATGCCAACCGATTCATTTGAATCTCCACTCACCTTAGCCGCTTGCGGCGGACACGTTGATTTGGCTATGTTGCTGCTCGAACGTGGCGCCAATATCGAAGAGGTGAACGATGAAGGTTACACACCATTGATGGAGGCATCGCGTGAAGGTCACGAAGAAATGGCTGCATTACTACTGTCGCAGGGTATGATTGAGTTTCCTATGCCAAGTGATTTTCCTTTTAACTAAATAACAATTCATCAATTGTACCTTGTTATTATCATCAGCATCACTGACCGACCACCATTGCATCATTTTTTATTTCGTGATGAAATGTGTGTGTGTCACAGAAGAAAGAAACATGCTTTTATCTGGGCTTTTCTTTGTCAGATTCGATAATAGTTCTACTTATTCCATGCTTTTTAAAAATTATAATTGTGGTGGTTTTCATTTCAATGTTGACCGATTTCTTGTTTCATTGTTTCCATAAATTACAGGTGCCAATATTAACGCCCAAACCGAAGAAACCCAAGAAACTGCTCTGACATTAGCCTGTTGTGGTGGTTTCCTTGAAGTAGCTGATTATTTATTGAAAAATGGAGCCGATTTGGAGATTGGAGCTTCAACACCGCTGATGGAAGCGGCGCAAGAAGGCCACATTGAATTAGTTCGATTTCTTCTGGAGAGCACCGCCAATGTCCACGCACAAACACCAACCGGTGACACAGCGTTAACGTATGCTTGCGAAAATGGTCATACCGATGTTGCCGAAGTTTTACTTATGTATGGTGCCGAATTAGAACACGAATCGGAAGGCGGCCGAACACCACTCATGAAGGCCTGTCGAGCCGGTCACATTTGCACCATTAAATTTCTTATCAATAAGGGAGCGGATGTCAACAAACAATCGACCAGCAATGATCATACACCTTTATCGTTAGCCTGTGCCGGTGGACACCAAGCCGTTGTTGAATTATTACTTAAAAGTGGCGCCGATCCATTTCATAAGCTTAAAGATAACTGTGAGTAATTTTTTGTTACCGTCACATATTTGAACTTCAAACTTACTGAATGGTTTGTTCATTTTCTCTCTCTCTCTCTCTCTTTCGTTTCATTACAGCTACGATGCTAATCGAAGCGTCGAAGGGTGGTCATATTGGAGTAGTTCAGCTGTTGCTCGATTATCCAAACTGGATGTACCAGCAGCAGCAGCCACCACAAGAGGTAAAAATACAACCGAATCGTTGTGATCTCTTTATTTAGAACCAAAACAGGAATCATATTCATCTGCATTTGGAAAATTCATATTCACCTTCATTTTAACCATATTTCAACCAGCTATTGAGATCGCTTGTATACATTTGTACAGTTCATGCGGATATATTAACACTGCCGTTGAAAATTTTTACCATTAATTTTACCCCAGAATGAAATGGAAAGTTTTAATTTTTCCAGATTCAACAAGTTTCCTAATGATAGCTCAATTTACCTCTTTTCTTCCACAGCAGGTGCCGCCACAAGTTCAACAGCAGGTTCAACAGCAGGTTCAACAGCAGGTACAACAACAACAGCAGGTTCAACAACAACAGCAGCAGGTTCAACAACAACAACAACAACAACTACTACTACAACAACAACAACAACAACAACAACAACAGCAGCAGCAACAACAACAACAACAGCAGCAGCAGCAGCAACAACAGCAACAGCAGCAGCAGCAGCAGCAACAACAGCAACAGCAGCAACAACAACAACAGCAGCAAATCCAACAGCCTGCAATTCAACAACCTTTGCCCGAAATTCAACTTCCAGGTAAAAATCGATTCGATTGCAAATCATTCGTATTAATACATTCCACGATCATCACTTTAACCTTCTACTTTTTCCCATTTTTAGCGCAAGTCTTTCCAGATGCTGGGTTACAAGAAGTACCCGAAGCCGTCAGAGTTACTAATCAGCAAATCTTTCAACATCAAGTTACGCCAACCGACGCAACATTACCGAATTCATTGCAAAATATCCTATTGAATTCGAATGTAAAAAATACGCCGATGGAAGATTCAATATTGGCGAATATGCGTTTCCTTCGTAATCAAGGGTTTAAGGATGGATTGGCATTGGGCTTAGCTAGATTTGGTCTTGTGAATAATAACAATAACACAAGCCAAAATAATAACATCAATGCGACCGATACGATCATAACAGCTGGTGCAATGTCAAGGTAAATAACAATCGAAATGAATTAAATGAAACCAATTTATTCGCCTGAAATATTCATGAACGAACATTCGGTTCTGTAATTGTAGTGATCCACCGATGCATTCGCAACCAATTAGCTTGCCTGTCGCAACTCCGGTTGTGAATACGGCGCCGCATACCAACAATGTCAAGCAAAAGAGTTTACTTCGCAAGAATCGCCAAACGCCAGCACCTTTCGAATTGAATGTCCCGACGCCAATCGATCCAACGCAACAAAATCGATTGCAACAATTTGGCGAAGATCTATCGAAAACATTTGGGTCTGTGACCGCACCCTTAGTCACCGATAAAAACGTGATGAAACCGAATTTCCTGGAAGAATTTAAACTGGTAAGTAATCATGGCACATTTCTGTTATTTTGCTGTGTTCCAGCACATTTCGGTGTTTTGAAAATTCTTTGGAAATCAATCAATTATCTTGTCTCTTTCATCAGCTCGATCCAACAAAGCAGAAAACACCGTTCAAAATCTCAGATGGGGAGAGTGCTACACCGACTTTCATACCAACGAGCTATGCTTTGGATTTGAATCTGACGCCAACGAATGGTAAATTTAATTGCAGTTTTCACTTGGAGATGATGTTTTTGACCACAAATTCTTATTTTCTATCTCACCCAATTTTACAGTTACTCCAACAACAGCCAACACGAGTTCATCGAATATTACCCCTTATTTGTTGCCAAATACGAGCATTACAACGGTTACGTCTTCTCCAATCGCTCCATCTGAGGTGTCGCCAACCACTGCAATTAGTGACCGACCAAAAGTGAAATCTGTATCGAAAAAGGACAGTAAAAATAATCGAAAAGCTGTAGCATCATCCATTTCGGCAATCCAACCCAATCCAGCGTTTATGAAAACAGAACAATCGAAAATCACTCCCGTTCTACAACCTACTGAACTTCAACAACAGCAACAGCAGCTACAACAGCACCAGCACCAGCACCAGCAACAACAACAACAACAACAACAACAACAACAACAGCTAAATCTCCAGGCACAACCAGCACCCATCGATATGCAGCAGGTAAGATGAAATGACAATTTACATAGGGAAAGACAATCGTTTACAACGTGGTTTTGTTCTAGTTCGCGGCTCAAGTACCAAATTTTCCATCGCAAAAGTTTGCACCGAAACTGACCATGGATCGACCAAAAATAACACCCGAAGCGCTTTCTAAGAGCGCTGTCGGTGAAACAATAACACCGCCATCTAGTAAGTATAAACACTTAAAGAAAAGAAAGGCCACGAAGAGCAAAATGAAGCAAGGAATGAAGCGAAAAATATTAATTGTCTGACACTCCATTTAACAGGTGATCAGTTGCGAAGCAACATTGTGTCAGAAGACGATTCAGCCGAACAAATTGCACCGAATGAAAACATCCTCCAGTTGGTCGCGCAAATCCCGAACCATCCGTTGCAGAAATTTGCCCAGAAATTGTTGGTTGATCGACCAAAAGCATTATCGGAATCACATTCCAAAAATGCTTCAGACGATACAACGCCACCGAAAACCAATTCGCCTACCACATCGACGAGTAAGTATTTACAATGTTTGGATTTCCATATGCTAGATTGTGTAAAAATAATTAATGCCAATGATCAAAATCAATTTCCAACTTTCTGCGTCTCACAGCCCCAGATATCGCTGATATTTCGCGCATTTTCTTCGAAGTCATTCGATCCGAACTGAATGCCAATCAAATGCCGGAGTTTGTAATCCACGAAAAACCCTGTTCAACACACACAATTGCTGGAGACTCGGAATCCAAAACCAACTGTGAACAAGATTCTAATCAATCAAAAAGTAAGATTATTTCATCACAAATGCAACTTTGTCCTTTTATTTTAACGTCATCCCATTGACTAATCACTTTGATTTTGGCTCAGATTTCGGTGATCAGCAAGATGATTTGAGCATGTTTTCCGTTGAAGAGAGTGATAATAAGGACGCTTATCTGGATATAGACAGTCCGACAGATGTTTTCAATACCGATGCACTGCAACAGCGTACACGCGAAAATAACTGCAACTATGATTGGGCTGATGACATTGATGTGTTGAATGTTCTGCACAGCGTCAATGATTGGCCGGTAACGTTACAGGTATAATAGCACGAAATGAATACCTGATTATTTGCTAACTGAATTTTATCAACAACAACAAAAAAAACATTCGTGCTTTTCAAAATCAATTTAACTGATTGGCGATATTGAAATTACAGGAAGTGACCGCGAATTTCAATGAATACACCGAGTATGCGAACTACATTGGCTTGAATTCAGCCTGCAAAATGCGTTGGACTACAACCGGTAATAAAATAGACAATAAAATGACGATTTAAGAAAGTTGATTGACCATTTTGAAAATGCATTTTTTTTCTAGCCCCAACCGGCAAAGCGACTCCAATTGATGAGCAACAGCAGCAATTAGACCATCAGCAAATGTGTCAGATCGAACAACAACTGCACCAGCAATTACAACAGCAATTTTGCGTTGAACAATTCCAATTGCTCAGTCAACTTCAGGTAAATCCACATTTAATTTTCATTTTGGGAAACAATTGCGATGTCAACTCAACTCAAACAAACTATATTTGGTTATTGTGCGTTCTTCAGAATCAGCAACAAGATCAAATACCGTTGGTTCCACCGCCATTAGTCGATATGCAAAAGCAACCGAAACTGGATTTGCAATCGATTCAGCCACAATTTCAAGCGCCCACCTCACCAACAACGACGCAACCAATTGCGGAATCGATCGGCGAACCAGAACAAACCAATTTCGTAAGTTTATGCACTGAATTTGAATTCAATGAATTTTCAATGTGAACATTTCGATGTGAGCTATTTAAACGGACATTTTAATTTTGATGAATTAATTTTTTTTTAGCAAACTTCACAATCGCTTCAATTGCTGTTTCAATTGCCAAATGTTCAACAAACTGGAACTCAGTCACAATCACAAGCTGTGTTAACAACCATCAACCAACCTGTAAGTCATTTGAACCTGAAAAATCATATAAATCTGACGATAAAACACAATTTAATTTTCTGTCATCCGCAGAACCACTATCGATACGCAAGTGCAAATGTCATGAACCATGGAGTAATGCCACAAAATTTGGATCAACAAATTCAAGTGAAGCAGCCACAACTTCAGCCAAATCCATTGCCGCCGAATGCCCACTTTCAAGCGATTCAATCTCAAAATCCACGTCAGCAAGAGCAAGACACAACAGTTAATAATAATCAACAACCGCAAACGATTCAGTCGCAACCACAAAATAATATCTCCAATAATAATAGTAGCTTATGTACCAGTGCACAAGATCAAACCTGCGCAACGCCCGCATCTCACAAGACCAAAAAGGTCATGGAGAAATCACGACGAGAACGGAAGACAATAGCGCGTCAAGCATCTGCCCCAAACACAAACACAGCTATGCAACAGCTTGCAATCAACACTCAATCACCGTTGGTAAGACCGCACATTTCAATTACTATTATTATTGATCCATTCATTCATTCATTCATTTTCTTCTTTCTCCAAATTCACTTTCGCTCATTTTCAATTGATTCCGATGTGAATGCGGTCTAAATTTGTTTCGCTTCTGTTTTCGTTGCAGGCGGATAAAACGATCGATATTGATTCCGAAACAGATTCGAATCATGATACCGCTTTGACACTGGCCTGTGCGGGCGGTCATGAAGAATTAGTCGAACTGTTGCTGCAACGCGATGCAAATATTGAACACCGCGACAAAAAAGGTTTTACTCCGTTGATACTAGCTGCAACGGCTGGCCATGAGAAGGTAGTAAATATTCTGCTGAACAATGGCGCCGAGCTAGAAGCTCAATCGGAACGAACGAAGGATACTCCGTTGTCGTTAGCGTGTTCAGGTGGACGATATGAAGTCGTGGAGATCCTGCTCAGAGTTGGCGCAAATAAGGAACATCGAAATGTGTCCGACTACACGCCACTGAGTTTAGCTGCCAGCGGAGGTTATGTGAATATTATTCGATTGCTGTTGAACCATGGTGCCGAAATAAATTCACGTACCGGCAGCAAATTGGGCATTTCGCCTTTAATGCTTGCGGCAATGAATGGTCATACCGCTGCCGTTAAGCTCCTCCTTGATATGGGTTCCGATATTAATGCTCAAATCGAAACAAACCGTAACACCGCATTAACACTGGCCTGCTTCCAGGGCCGGCACGAAGTGGTGAGTTTATTGCTCGATCGAAAAGCGAATGTTGAACACAGAGCCAAAACCGGATTGACACCGCTAATGGAAGCCGCATCCGGCGGTTACATTGAAGTTGGTCGCGTATTGTTGGACAAGGGAGCCGATGTTAATGCAACGCCCGTTCCGTCGTCAAGAGATACCGCGCTCACAATAGCTGCGGACAAGGGTCACTTGAAATTCGTGGACCTTCTGCTGCAGCGAGGTGCGGCCGTTGAAGTGAAAAACAAGAAGGGAAATTCTCCGCTTTGGCTCGCCGCAAACGGTGGCCACCTCTCCGTTGTAAAAATCCTGAAGAATCATAACGCCGATATCGATTCACAAGATAATCGTCGCGTTTCATGTCTTATGGCTGCCTTCCGTAAAGGTCACACCAAAGTTGTCGAGTTCATGGTGAACCACGTTACTCAATTTCCATCCGATCAAGAGATGACCAGATATATTGCAACGGTGAGCGATAAAGAGCTCGCGGACAAATGCAAAGAATGCGTGAAAACCATTCGCGCTGCCAAAGAAGCCCAAGCCGTAAAGGCAAACAAAAATGCGTCTATCTTACTGGAAGAATTGGATATGGAAAAGAATCGTGAAGAGAATCGCAAGGCTGCGGCAGCCAGACGACGTGAACGAAAGAAGAAGAAGAAAATGGAAAAGAAAGAGGAGAAACGTAAACTAATGGAAGTTGAACAGGTGCCGGAGAAAGAGAGCTGCAGCAAAAAGAAGAATCAATCGTCGAACGACAGCAAAGAGGTGGTCAGTCCAGAGAAAGAAGAAACCGATTCAGGAATCGATGTACACAGTCAAGGATCATATTCCAGTGCTGATAACAAAAATAACAATGCCACAAACAAATCAAATGAAAATGCCAGCAGCAAAAGCAGTAGCAATAAGTCTGAAGTCGGTGCCGCAGACAACGTCATCAAGAAAAATCAAAAAGCAAATAAAAACAGCAATCAATCGAAGAAGAATAAAAGCCCGAACCGAACCCAAGAGTCTGATGAAGAGAAAGAAACGACCGCGGCTATGTCGACGACAACTGCAACAACAACAACAGCGTCGACGACGACAAAGCCATCCAAGCAAAATGATAGAAGCCACGCCACTGAGAGCAAAAGCCAATCAAGCAATGATACCAGTAGCGACACTTACAGCAGAAATAATAACCATCATCACAAAGAGAAAGATGCAAAACATCGAAATACCACGCAGAACGATTCCAACGAAAGGGAGACTGCAGCAAATGTGAGCAACAACAATAGCAGTAACAGTCGTGGATCGAAAGAAAAAGAACGTTCGAATAACAAATCAATCGAAAATCATACGGATGGCAACAAGAATGAGACGAGCGAAAAGAATGACATGCACTCGAAATTCAACTCACACGAACCAGTTGTGACGGCGTTACATCACAAAACCACCCGAAATGCAACTGCGCACCACAATGATGCTAGTGATGGTGAAGTGTCTTACTTTAATTCAACACGGAATAAGAACAACAAAACGACCACACAGCATGAGAGTGTGAGCAAAACGGCCACCACCAAATCGAGTGCCCAATTCAAACGAGAGGAAGGCTGGAAAGAAGTGAGCCGCAAGAGCTCAACTCAACAGCATCCCACAACAGATACGTCGGTGAAGAAAATTATCATACCAACGTATGCAATTTCACGTGTTATCGGACGGGCTGGTAGTAATATAAATGCTATTCGTGCTGCTACCGGTGCACATATCGAAGTTGAAAAACAGGGAAAATCGCAAAATGATCGCATGATCACAATTAAAGGTTCGACCGATGCCACTAAGCAAGCTTCCCTTCTGATTGGAGCTCTTGTCAAGGATCCAGAAGTGGATATTCTGCAAATGCTACCGAAAGTCAATAATAATGCCCGATCACTTCCGCCGTCGAATGTCGTTGAAAAGCCAATAATCACCACACAAACGGTGACAGCTACCGTGACAAGCACTGCAACTGGACCAAAAGTGTCTAAGCCAGTGTCCACCGTTGCCAGTTCGACAACTAGCACGGTAAGTTAAACTTTTGCAAAAATACGCCACTTTATTTCGAATATTCAGTCGAATAATCTAGGAAATGACGTTGGCATTTTGACTGACGAACCCCTACCATATTTTTCATTTTCCTTTTGTTCTTCGAATTTATCAAAGTCTTGAATTTCATTTAGAATGTTTACTAATCAAATTTTCCCCATACAGGTTCGAGCTCCTCACAGCGTCAATATAACCAGCGTAACGAGCAATATCACCAGCACTAATATTATTTGCAGCAGCAGTGGAAGCATTGGCAGCACCATTAGCAGCAAACCAGCAACGGTGACTCAAGTTCGTACTGTAACAAACACAAATCGCACTCCGATGCCGAATGATACAGCCGCATTCAAGAAAACTGAACCGTTTCCATCGACAAAAATTGCCACATTGACTATTGATCATAGTGGTTTGATGGCGTTGAAGAACACCATCAAGAATTCAACATCCGAAGCGTTCGGAACATTTGCAGCCAAAGTGGCATCCGATGTGAAACCAATTGTCGTTTCATCGGAAAGCATTCAAATTCATTCGTCTCCAAAACATGTAGTGGCCCCCAATCAACCGGCGCCATTCTCTTCGGCAAATGTGTTTACAAATGCAAGCAATGATAAAACGGTGAAAACCACCACATCGGTATCCAGCTACTCGAATACAATTGGTGATGTGGCCGTAACCTCAACTGTACCCAGTTCTATTGCCAATCGTCATGATAGAAACAGCGTGTACAGGGAGGTTCCATTGGTGGATAAGCCAATCGTTCCGCTTGAGTCCACTTCAATTATTCAAGCGGCCGCCTTGCAACAGCAGACCGACGCAAAAACGTTGCAAAGTCGCCAGAAAACCAGTGGTGTTCAGTTGCCTATCATACCAAATTCACAATCGCATGAATATTCATTGTTTGCCGGTGAATGGGAAAAGAAGTCCACGTTCAATGGCCGAACGGCTGAAAATTATCTCGAAAGTGACAGCCTTCCAAAGGCCGATGCATCCAAAGCGCCCGGTTATCGTGGTGCCAATCTCAATTCGCCCGTCAACTCGAAAACGTCAAAACTCGCCAAAACTGATGAAAAATCGGTAAAAGATTTAGATCAAAAATCCGACCAATCCTCACAAAAGAGCATAGACTTCAAGACCAACGAACCGGCCGATCAATTGGACTCGATTTCAAAGAGTGGTGGCAGCGTCGTGAAACTTGAAACGGATGATTTGCAACGAAGTGATAAACTCATCGAAAAAGATTCGGTCTTAGCAGATTTGGACAAGCCACAGATTGCACCGCATATTTCACCCATTGGTATAGCTCCAGCAAAGCTTCCACCGCCAATTGGTTCCCAATTGAATATTGCCACATCGCAATCAGTGATCAAACCAAACACATCAGTATATGGAAATACAGTGAGCGATTCATTTCCACAATCAATCATTCGACCGCCATCGATGCAAACCTTATCGGCCGCACAAGACATGTCTTCGTCACGGTCGTTATCTCAGTCTCAGCTGCGAATGATGGTGAGTTGGCGTTTATCCTTCTCTCTATCTGAAACAATATTTCTTGAAATGAAATCCTATCGTAAAAATACTTATAAAACTCACATGCTTCCACAGGTTCCAATGGATTCAATGAACATGGACACCAAATCGAATCAAAACTGTTACGATCCGCCGTATCGTAACATGAACTACTCCAATGTGGATGCAATGCAATCGTATCAACAGGGTTTGAATACGAATCAGATGTCAATGTCACGTTTGAATCCGCGTGCTTCTGTCTTCTCATCAATGGGTAAGTATATTCCGAAATGATTCTGCACAGAAAGTCGCTTGCAATTCCATTATAAATGCAGTATAATAATAAAACGTTTTATATTCAATCGCAGGAACAAATGTCGTCAAAAATAATCCGACGCAAGCGCCATACGGCCGCAACAATATGTTCTCACAAAATCCAAATCAATCGATAAACGCAAACTATAATCCGTATCAGAAGATGCCATTCACTAATCAGAACACTGGTAATGCGGCACCGTTTTACAATCGGGCACCGGGTCGGCCACAATCTCAACCGACCAGCAACAATGGTCGCATGTTCACCGAATTTGCGCATTCAAGTCATACATCACCGAATGACACATTTAATTTGGATCATGCAAACCTCGTGATGCCCATGAATTCAACATCATCGATGTCGCCCAATGGAAATAATAATTCACAAGTAGCCACCAACAACAAAAATGTACTGCAACCCGATGACAATCGACGCATGCCACGTCCAATCGGTACCGAACGAGCATCGTGGAAGCACAACGTTAACATCGGCGGATTGAACACCAATTTGGAAAATGTGGATAACATGAACCAACATTCACTGCCACCGTGGTTAGGTAAATACTTTACGACGACATTTTTTGTAGAGTACATTTTTAAGATGCAGAATTTATGGGAAATTTTCTATGTCATTATATATTATGAGTATTGCCATGAGATCCGTATTAATTTAAATATTTTCCAATAGCAGAACAGCCACCACCATCTCAACCATCGCAACCACATCTTTCGAATGGTAAACTATTCAACTATATTTGGACTATTATTTAAAACCCCATTTTGACGAATAAATTTATTAAATGTTTTTCTTTAAATAATTTTAGATCAACAACCACCCCAACACTGGATGCAGTATCCGCTTTCGGCTAGAAATCCCTATAACGACGACTTGCATCTTCAAGATCAGTTCAATCAAGTGAGTTTTTCGTTGCTGAATTTGTCTCAATTGACATTCAACGCTTTGTAATGTTCATATAAAATCCTTTCCTTGAAAATGAATTAAATTAAATGAAACTAAACTAAATTGATGTTGTTGACAGGTTCCCATGGATTATTACAATTCAATGTTACCACAGAATCAACCACCGATGATGCCATCGATGCACTATTCCCAAATGGCACAACCAGAAATCGGGCAAGACTTATGGGATCATGAAAAACATGTAAGTGTGTGCAAATAACAAATGAATTGGCTCAAACTAACGAAATTGTTTCGAAAAATAAATACTAAAAGTGAAACTACTGTTCAACTGTTACAGAATCAAGGATGGTCAAAATGGACAAACTAGCCAACTAGCTTCGTGAATTAGGTCTTTTTCATTGATTGTTGCAGCTTATCGACTTCAAGGCAAAACACACCAACTAAGAAACTAAACATAAACAAATACTGCTAAACCGCTCAGCAAAAAACGAAAGAACAACAGCATGAAAATTTACAAAAAAAAGTTTTATCAAATTTAGTGCCGTTTACATTTTTAAATAATATCAAATTATTATTAACTCTCATATTCCACCCAAAAAAGCATTCTTAGCTTAGAGTTTAATAGAAAAAAAAAATTACCTACAACAAGAAAAGAATGAAACAAACAAACAAACATTACAATTTATTACTTCATGTTTTGTTTTCACACAACATATACAAAAAGAAACAAAAATGAGATAAACAAATTAATAAAGCGAACAACACCCCCTCCCAAGCGATTAATTATTAATAGAAAAACAAACAACAACAAAGGAAAAACACAATCCAAATCGAATAACTTAATATCCAATTGAGCGTACACACGATTTCGAATCTAATTTCTAGTTCATGCGAATTAAATAATTGAAGAAAAAAAAAACAAAGCAACCCAATTTATTTTTTTCGATTGACAAATTTACGGACACACGACATAATATGGAAAGTGGCAAAGAGTATATAGGAAAACAATGACAGACGAATACGCAACAATCAACATCTCGCTAAATCGGAATATAAATATTGAAATCAAGATGCATAAATTCATGAACGTTACGGTATAAACAAAATAAAAATCACTGAATAAGAGAGCATATTTAAAACAAAAAAATGGATTATACACATTGCTGGCATACGCTGATGTTTACTTGTTACTATTCATTATTAATATTAATAATAATAATAATAATAATAATAAAGAACAGAATAAAAATTATGAGAATGCCGCTTAAGTCAGCACTCTGTGCAGTTATACAATTTGAAGGGGTATCAGAAGAAGGAAGGCTTTTGTTATATTTGAAACTCTTTAGTGAAAATCAATCTTCTTCTGCTTCTGAGCTCTTCATTTTCACATGATTATTTTTTTCTCCTTTTTTGGTCATATATGATATAAATGATTATTATACAATATTACTTATGTATAGAGATATCATTCGATTAAAATCAATAAAGATGCTACAGAAAACAATTCTTCCCCTTTTTCCGTTGCTTGTTTTCCTATTCTTCTTCTTTTTCTACTCAATTTATTGACAGTGATATTTACAGAGTGGATCATGGTTTCGATTGAACATATTGCCCATGCTCAAAGTCTAGACACACTGTTTTGTGCTCAAGACTCATGCAATCGTTGCAATTTTGTCATCCTTTGTATGCACTCTAGGAACTGCACAAAAATAATAAAAAAAACCGAAAATCTACATGTAGCAATTTCATTTAAAAAATTTTTATTCATTAGATTCAATTACAACAAGAAAAATATTGCAGTTGCTCGGGATGAGAGATCTATTTGTGCGGAATCATAGCTCAGTGTGTCGATATATTTGCTTCTCGAGGCTTTCTTGGAGTTTTTCCACTTTTCTGGCTTGCTTTTTGATATCTTTCTCCATATGATCCTGTTTTTCGGTGGCTTTCTTGTCTTTTTTGTTCTGAAACTCAACGATAATGGCCGATTTAGCAAACAAAAACACCTAGTTGATGCAATAAGTAAATTCCGATTTAAAAAATAATCGGTGTACCTTATATTTTTCATTTCCAATCGCATGTTCTGCATACAAATGGCTTAATTTTAACAGTCTCGATTCAAAGTGGAAGAGCTCTTCCTTTAGTGCGGCCAGTTCACTAGCTGTAAAATTACTTTCAACGGCCACACTCCATAAATGTATAACTTTGGGGTCGATGAACTCACGGCGGCCACGTCCTTGAGCCGTTTTACGTTCCAAATTTTCATAAGTATCTTTAAGGTCGTGATGTTTCTCCCGCAATTTATTCGCATTATCCATGTATTCTTTGTGTTCGTCTTTGACTTGGTCATCGGGCGCGACTTCGTTGAAAAAGTCCAACTCTTCTTGGTTGACAGTGTCTACAAGGGGTAAAATTACGCTGAATACAGGCCGATAAATGCTAAGAAAATAAGTAATAAATTTCCCAATTCAATGCCTTACATTGGACAAATCCAATTCACTTACTTTCATAACGTTTTTTGATTTGTTCATCCAGGTTATCAAGTAATTTATAATACATTTCAACTTTTTCATCGTAATGCGAAAATTCCGTCTTTAATTCGCTTAGTTCGTCGGCTGTGAAGCCAGCCATTTCGGCTTTGTTCCACAATTTGTTCAATTTTTTATCTTTGAATGTACCGATTTTGTTGGCATATTGATCACCCCGGTCCTTGCTATATTTATCATATTTGCTCGGTTTTTCGTATTTATCGTGATCACTGTAATCCAACAAGTTGTACGCTTTCATGATGCCAATCAATTTTTCCCGAAGTTTGGCTGCGCCCGTTCCTTCGTTGTCGTTCGCCCGGACATTTTGTTTGTATTGGATTTCTTCTTTATCCTGTGTTTTCATTTGTGTGTACAACGACTGTAGCTTTGGCTCGGTGAGACGCTATAAATAGTTTTTGTTTTGTTGGTGCATGCCAGAATAAATTACGAGGAAAAAACAGAAAAAAATAATTGCAATTTAAAAATAGCCGACCGATTTTTACCAGCGATGGACTTTGTGTTTTGTTTACCTGTTGCGCTTTAACCCAAATCAAGTTCAATTTTTCCATTCGGAATGGTCGCACCAAATTCCGAAAAATCTCCTTGCCCTCATCGCCCGGATTCACTTCATCATTTAATTCATCGGCTCCGACGACATAGACAAGGCCAATGCCGATAAAAATCAGTACCAATTCTACACTTAATTTCATTTTTGTTAGTTCACACTAATTAATTACGACGTAATGCTATGGACGATAAATGGAAACGAGCACACAAAAGTACAACAACAAAATAAAACAGAAAAAAAAGAGACAAAGAAAAAGTGCGAATACTGCAAGTAAAGACTTTGGCGAAATTTATCGTGCCGACGGAAACATTTTTAATACGAAAATTACCAAGTCAATCAAATTATTCAATTGACACATCGAACGAATGGGAAATGCCAAATCTTAGGTTTGATTTTACCAATAGGGATACATGACGTTTTACTTTGCAATTGCTTCAAATCGACTTTCGTTGTAAATGTACAATGATCGTCTCCCGTATACTGTACAGTGTACACCAGGAAAAATGAAAACGATTTTCTGCTGTGGACGATATTTTTCACACTGTTTTGTACCTCAAGCATTTTCGTCATTCCGATCTCTTTTATTATTTGCTTTGCATAAAATAAAATTTATATACACATATAACACAGATTAAGTTTCGGATCGAAGAAAATGAGATAAATTCATGGATTCTTTTGCGGTGATAGAATATTTTCTGTTTTTTTTTTCTGAATAAATTCCAAATAAATGGCAAAAAAAATGTTCATAGAGAAATAAGTTAGCCATTTCTTTCTTTTTGTGATACTAAATCAATTAAAGAGTGCGTATTCATCACGTGATAGTTCAAAATGACTTGTGATCATCGTAAACATTCTTCTTTTTATTTTTCATTAAATTGACAATAGATTTGTGAATTATCTGTAACCTAGCATGCAACTGATCATCTAAAAATCAAGGCTCTCATGGCCAAATATGGAGAAAACTTGCCAAAAGATAGAGAGAAAATGAGAGAGAAAAGGAGTTAGAGAGACAGGATTTGAGCTGGAAAATTAAAATGAGGGACAATTTATAAATTAAAATTTAAGCTGAAAAATATTTGTATTCCGGTGACGCTGAGTCATTTGGTTTGTTTGTGGTTGCTCGTATGCGGGATACATCGTTCCGTGCACCTGAGTACGATCGACGTTTTCGTGTGGTGGATGGTTCAAATGGTTTCTGGATCTCTTGTGGCAAAGCAACGTCATCGATTGCATTCAATATAACCAGTGGTAGATTACGTTTACGCAATGCGTTCAAGAAATTATTCGAAACTCGTTTACTGCAATAGAAAATAATGGCATTTGTGGTTGAAAAGTATAATGATTTGTTTTAGTTTAAGCTGGAATTTCTTTTGCTTTCATTGATTGCAACATTTCACTTTTTAAAAATCCCAATCCCATGCACTTGCACTTACGCATTGTAATCCAACGAATCATCAGCCGACACTCGAGCGATGCGATCTCTTCCGAAAACTTTGTCATTCTAAAATAAAGCCACAACGACAAAAGTTTGTTCCATAAAATAAACTTATGTTTCAATTAGTCCAAATTTGAGGTTTTACCTCTTCTTGCATGAGCCTAAAAAGAGCCCAGCGATCCTGTTGTGGCTCCGGTTCGCTACGGTCGTTAGAAGAGCGCTTTCCATGGGCACCCCAACAGCTATGACCGTAGCTTAAGCACGAACCTGTATAAAATCATCAAGATGTATATTAACCAAAGAAAAAAAATCAGCCGTGAAAAGTAATTGAAAAGGTGGCCGTTTGATTCATGCAACAGTCACCGTAATTTGAATTTTGAATTCATTCGAGCACTGACACGCGGAGAGAAAAAAGAACGCCCATCATTTGTGTTGTTGAGAGAGAGAGAGAGAGAGAGAGAGAGAGAGAGAGAGAAAGGTCCAAAAATGTGTACCTGTCGAAGCGAACCTTTGTTCAAATCTATGATTTGCCTACGAATTATATGCTGTAGTTCCGTTTTGAAATCGACCACAAATTTTCCATGAGTGCTGCTGCGATTGTTTTCTTCTGCGCTTTGATTTTCATTTATGTTAAAGTGTTTTCTTTGCAGAAATAGTTATTGTACCGAAGAAAGTGTTAAGGTTAGGATTCTGATGAGGTTCAACATTATTGATAAAGAGAAACGGCGTGAATTTGCTTATGACGCATTCGTCGATTGCCGTCGGTCACAGAATATTTGAATAACCAAGTTCTATCAAATAGTATTTGATCGAATTGATTGATTTCTTTTAATCGATCCAATTTACTTATTTTGCTATAAATTTATAAATGGAATTCAAAGGAAGGCTGCCTTTCCTGAATCCTTTCAATCTTGACGGAAACCCTCTTAAAATACCAAAGTTCAAGTGTTATTTTCTCCATCAAAATGAATAAACGGATGCTTTTTTAACTATGAAAAAAAGAAACACAGTAAAAATTCATCGAGTCAAACAGTTTATCACAACAGTCTTTGGGTGATTAAAAGTAGACTGTTTTTCCGTTTATACTAAGCTGGAGACGAAAGATGCTATCAATCAAGTGTCCAATGATTTTCCCTTTGTTGAGGGCTAACTAAACAACACATTATCCATGACGCCAACACAATTGATTTCCATCTTACATGTTTACGTGGAAATACATACAACCCCATGCCATTTCCATATATTGGCCATAAAAACAAATAGATTTTAAGTGATTTTGCACCTTTTCTATTTGGCAACGTTTTTTTTCTTTATTCTCTCGTCTCCACTCGCCATTGAATTATGCTGCATAATAGAGCTCGAGTAAATTGAATGGCAACCAAGACCAAGACACCTGCTCACTTGCGCTTACACAGAAAAAAATAATGAGACGATAGTGCAAGCAATTTTTTCCCCACTGCATAATAGAGAACCGTATGTCAAAAGAAATAAATTGCGTTGGTGAAAAGAAAGGGGTTGGGGAAAGATGCTGGAGAAGGTATTTACTCAAACACTTGACTTTTTAACACTCAATATCATGGTTTTTCACATTCAAGTTAAATTTAGACGTAGCTCATAGTTGCTACACCTTTGAACCCTCTTCTGGATACAGATCGACGCAATAGTATTGTACTCTGCAAACTGTTTAATACAATTGAATGTATCGCGCCTGACGATTCGCTTTCCCAACCAAATCACATCACATAGCAAAGAAATGTTAAAAGTTGAACTACCAGTGAAATTTCATCGAATGGTATGAATTTTCTTCAACATAGAATTCATTTTTGGCATTAGAATGAACATACGGTTTTTTTAAAATGCGTTCATACAAAGAAATTTCTTTGATGAATTATGATTTGTGGCGATATATGTATTATGTAGCATTCGCCAAACTCCAAAACATCAAATAATTGATAATATATTGAAATCAATGCGAAATTTTCATTCTTCCTCAATTACTGACCCTCTATTTAACATGATTTGGCACCAATCTTATAACCTTATTTCGTTCGATTATTCAATTGAATGGATACCGTTCAATTGATTTTGCCAATGGGAAAAGTGATCTTTTCACACCAAGTTTTTCTTGTTTTCTCGACCTGAGCATGGTCGTTCTTTGTTGTTCTTTATCTTCTTCATGAAAATGTGTGTGGTCTGTTTGGCGCTGTGATTTTTTTTCTGCATCTAAAATGCTGAATCCAAAAGTGTTACTTTCCGCTTGAGGAGAGAATTCGAATGGGCAAAGAGGATGAGCCGAGCAGAAAATCAAATAGCCGTCGATATGGTTCATTTTCATTTATATAACACGGCAATAGATGGAGAAAATTACAATTAAAAAACTTGTTGTGTGCAGTCAAAATGAAATAAAGAGGAAAAAGCCAAAAAAACGGTAGTGAAAAGTATAAAGCGCGTGTTCATTGCGTCTTAATTTTCTTTTTGGCTAAAATAATAGAATATGCTTATTACTACAAAAATGGTCTACTAGATGGACGTCTGTTTTTTTTTCTTCACTTTTTCTCTTTCTTCATTTCAGCTTTTGGAATTTGGTGCACAGTCGAGATCATACATAAGGTACTTACAGTGAATCAATTCAGAGCAGAACGACAGACAAATTATCATATAAATGACTGCTTTCATTTTCGATGATTTTAAATGCTCTTTTTTTATACTTTTACTGCCAACCTCTTCCTTGCTATGTTTACTGGCGCGCGCGCTTTTTCTCTCTCTTCTTTCGCTGCTGCTGTTTTTGTGTGTGTGTGTCTTGTGTTGCTGTTGTTGCCGTTGTTGCTTTTCCTCGGCAAAGGTACAAGAGCTCCTTTTCGAAATATATTTGCAAACTGTATGCGTGATATTGAAATTACTAGTTATTAGTAACCGATAAAGCTTTATAGACAACGATCAAAAAGAACACGTACTAAAAGAAAGTGAATGTAAAATGGTGAATAACAGCCGTATAAGTACAATTTAATGGAAATGAAGCGAGAAAGAGAGAAAGAAAAGAAGACAACAACTACAATTGCAGATGAAGAAAAAAACGCTAAATGCACGTATCAAACGATTTAATAGCTAGCGAACGTTAATAAAAACAAACAAACCGTCAATTCGAATAGAAAGAGAAAGAAATAGAATGAAAATACAAGAAACAGATTGATTACAGTAAAAGAAACTATAATACCCTTGCTCAATTTATGATACAAATAGATTTTAATTGATTAAGTTATTTCTCTCGTTTGGTGATTCGTTTTTTCTTTTCGTATGCTATTCAAACCCGGTCCGTTTGAGCGCAATTTAATATTTAAATTGATTTCAATTGAATAGGAAAATATCTGTCAAGTGATTTGAAAGTAAAAAAAAATCGCACTAACTAGGACACGGAAAAAAATAATTCGTATCGCTAATTTTGGATACGCCAAATAAATCCGAGCAGAACGTTTGGCGATTTATTCTTCTCTTTTTGTTGTTTGGGCGGGAAACACTCACAATTCAAATGGTTAGAAGTGTTGCAGAAGACTGACCGTTAGTTTGATGATCGAAGATTCTTATATGAGAGCAATGCCAGTGCGTCATTCAGCGAAAAATCAACTCTTTCGCACCAAAAAACCCTACGCATGTTCCATTTGGCGCAATGTATTCATCCACTTTTCTACGTGTGTTCGCTTATGCGATGAGTTTTTTTCTCCTGTTGTTGGTGTTGTTGTTCGGTTAATTTGCGTTTCTAGCTTCTATTGTAAACTATTAGCATTGGAATGGATTTACGCATATGGTCGCACACCGGGGCTGGAATTCTAAGAATTCCACCGAAATCGTTCGGAATTATTTTTTTCGTACATAAGACCATATTGGAGTGAAAGAGAGAGATTCCACTATTTCTCAGCTTCCCACCGGAATTATTCCGATAACTCAAGGAAGAGTGGATTGCAACTCAAGGATCAGTGGATTGTGTGAGAAATAATTCCGGTGGGAAGCTGAAAAATAGTAGAATCTCTCTCTCTTTCACTCCAATATGGTCTTATGTACGAAAAAAATAATTCCGAACGATTTTGGTGGAATGACTTAGAATTCCAGCCCGGAAAATACATTGGATACGAGAAAATCCGATTCGACGCGGCTCTTTCTAACTAAGTGCTGCACATACATGTTGGCAAAGTATTCGCCCATTTTGGATACATTCAAACCGAATGTTACCATCGCAATCTATAATGACGCACCTACATTCTAATGCCATTGTTAAACTATTCTGTACGCAGCAAATAACAAGAACTGAATGCAGAAAGAAAACTGAATAGCGATAAATAGTTGAAATGTTATCGAATCGAAGAGCTATTCAGTTAAAGATAAACTTGGCGCAAACTTTCATTTCATGTACAGTATATTCAATTTAACGGTGGTGGGTAAAAATCGTAACTGAAGAAAATCGAATTAGAAAATGGATCTCCATGAAATATATCAAATAGGAATTAGATTTAACAAAGAGCCGACTTCAATTGGATCGAAAGGTTTTAATTCCAAGACTAAGAATCCAAAGCTTAGGAATGACAACATTTCAGGTCTAAGAACATAAGTAACATTTTTGACTGAAGTAATTCCAAATTTTCGTTCGAAATATGCTTTCTCTTCGTTCAAGAAAGATTTTCCCAAAAGAATATATCGTATGATGATTCGTTTGTGGAACAGAATACAATATTGAATTACAAATGTTTAACGGTCTTTTTCCATACAGAATGTTCGACTAGTATTCCATTAATCATTTCAATAAAATTCGGAGTTGGGTGTATTTATGATGGTTATTCAGATTATTTTTTATTGCCATGAGATAGGCATTTTTATTCCGTAGTAAACGCAGTTACAATTAAAGAGATAACATGTTATATGAGAGTCGCACAATGTCGCCGTATTTCCCCCCCCCTCTCTCTCTCTCTCTCGCTTTTCAAATCAGTCTCGTTTTAATTCCATGTGAACATTATCGATTTCTACATTCAATTTTACTGGCCTCTGTGTGCAGATATCAACGGGTTTCACTTCATCCGCAGACTAAAATGTACCGATGATCAATTGGGTGTTACACCCCCGGAACGCATTAGAATTTCATCCATCCGCTGACGCAAAATGACTTTTTCCCTTCTCACACTCTCTCCAACACTCTCACACCACAACGCCTACTTTTATGTAACTAACTGAAGGAGTGAGTAATCAAAAAACCCATGTCACTCATTAAAATAAAAATAAAATAAAACCATTAAACGAAAGACGTAAAAACGTTGAAAATTGATTTTCAATCACTTTCGTTTAAAAATTACACAGCAACTTAGACCAATTATCGATCGCATGGATTACGCGAAAAAAAAGTCATTGGCCACACATGAATGCTAATTGAATAGACAGTTGGAAATTTGCCAATGAGAAAAACAACAGCAGAAATAAATTAATAACGATGTGGTGATTATGCACGGCGGCTGCCAACACAGAGCAGAGGTAGAAGAAAATGTGTGTGTGTGTGTGTTGTTTTTCTAATACAAACAACACATGGAAAAGTCGACAGCAACAAGTAAAGAACCGTCGGCGAAAATGTGGAACAAGAAATACAACAGCAACAGCAAAAAAGTACACTCGAACCGCATAAATGGCTAGCAACATAAGTCATATCAAAATAAATATTCACTGTTTTAATTTTCCCTTTTTCTTAAAACCGGTTTAAAGAAAGTGCATGTATTCCAAGTTCGCTGAGTCTTGCCGATCAAACGTAGTCAAGTTTAGTGTGTTTTTTTTCTTTCATGTATACATATATTCATTGTACTGGTTTTTTGTCTTCTAAACTTCTAATTTACACAAATAAATTTTTCTGTATCCATAACATTAGGCATTTCTTTTTTTTTCTACCTCTCTTTCTTCTAGTTTTTAATACATAATAAACGCTTTTTATGTCTTCAGCACTTCGAAGTTTAGAGAAGAATGTAGCATGTTTGCTGTTCAATTGGTCACTTGCCGCACGTTTTACACGTCCATTACTTGAGTGCACATTCGTTATCGTTTTCCCATTTACATTTCGTGTTTGTTCGAGACAATTCGTGTTGTGTTTTAGTTTTTTGTTTCGTTGTTTTCTGTATCGAATAAAATCTGTGTAGTTGTTGTTGCTGGTTTCCGTTTGTACGTTTCTCATCATCGTCAACAAATAATTGGTGGGTCCGTCGGACAAATAATTGATAGCTCGTTTATTTATTTCATTATTCGTTCCTTTATTTCCTCTCTATCTCTCCAATGTGAAGTGTTTGTTTTTTTTTGTTCATTTGCTTTCTTTATCGCCAAATCTATTTTTGGATAATCGATCAAGATGTAAAAGGGAGAGAAAATGAAAGGAGGATCATCGATACAAGTGTTGCACTTCAGCAGCAGCAGCAACAACAGAAGAAGAAGAAGAAAAAGAAGAACAAAAAAAGCCCACTGAAGAAAAGTATTTAGAGCGCATGAAAGACAAGGGCAAACCGATTGCTATCGAGCCACAGAGTATGCATATATTTATAGTTTGATGCAGTTAATAAAACTCTTTGTTTTATTTGCTCGATCTATTATTTTGTTCTTAATCAAAAACTGAAGCAAATAATTGCAGTGATGTGTGCTTTTTCCCTTCTTCTTTAGCTTCTTTGGCGTTGATTTCTATTTATCATAAAATTTTCTGTTTTCGTCATTTTATCCGATAGAGAAAAATTCGCCAAGATTCTAAGCTGATCAAATCGATCGATAGAATGGACCATTAAAGAAAGGGTTCATTTTAATTGTTTTGCACGATGATCTGTGCCTGTTTCGTTATGTCCACAAAAGCTGAGAACCCATAGCCAAGCCCAACTCAATGGTGTCCCGTTAAACGGTTAAATCAACAAATTTACGGTGGCTAGTTTCTTGGGCATTCGAATGGCCCCGATGATAGCATCACTTTTATTAGCATCGATTCGTAGATAAATTAACGAAAAGCCGAAGAAAAAGAAGATCATTAAAACGATTTTACTCTCTTTCTCGGTATATGCCAAGAGTTAGTTTATTGTTTGCCTTTTCGCCGGAGTGCACATTCACAAAACAATTGCACATTCTTTTTTTTTGTTTTCGGCTCGGTTCGGTTCGATGTGAATCGTTCAACTGGCTCTCGGCTTCGCTATAGCAAATGGGCACACGTAAAAATTATGCATTGATTTATCATTCAAAGCCCATTCATATGGATTTGCGCTATCAAATTGTGGTGCTGCCGTTGGTTGCAGCAAAGAATGATTGTGCCGAATGAATGCATTGCAGTTGGCATTTAAATAAATTTTCAACCGAAAAAAAAGGAAACAATAACTGCTTTATACAATATTGAAATTGGCTGGCAAAAACAAAAACGTCTCCACATACAATTCGAATTCGGTTACTTTCACTACCAATATGTATAATCGCTATAATTATTTTGCTTACATTGATGTATGTGCGGCGTGTGGCGCTCTTGCCAATGCCAAACATGTGTCCATGTTATTGATAGAAGTCAAGTTTGTACAAATCGAATAGGAAACCCATAAACACATTAAAACACAGCCGATTTGTAAATCTGATCAAAGGCTGCTTCTTTTTCTGTTGCTGCTCGGCTTTGCTCGTCTTGTGTTTATAGTAGATGACTTTTCGTCTGAGTCGTGTCCCTTTCTTTCATTTCCTTTTGGTTTTTGTTTCGATTTAGATTGGAAATCCATAATTTCTCGGTTCGCTTCGAATGTGTTGTCCGTTTCATTTTAGTTTGGAGCAGTACAAGAGTGTTGTGGCGAGCGCGCGCCGTCGCTAAAGGTTGACGTAAAGTGGGAGATCAACACATTGAATAGAAGGCACAGAGCAAACGGCAAACACCGAGCAACGAAAGAAGAAGTAGAGGCAGCGGTGGTTTTTATTTTCGTCGAGTTGTGAGCATCGGTGCTGGTCCATCTGTCTGTTCACAGTCAACAATGCAATAGTTCGTCTCGTGGCTTAAAATCGAAAACATTGCGCCAATCGGAGCTCGTCCGCTTCAGAATTGCGCTTTGTGTGTGTGTGTGTGTGTGTTCGACTTCAGTCTCATTGAAAATATTTTAAAACTAATGGACAATTTTCCATTGAAGAAAAATCAAGTCGTGTTGAAAAGAAAGAAAAACTTAGCTGTTAACCAAACAAACAACATCAGGTGCTGTGTAGCCTAATCGAATTCATCAACAACACCGCGCCAAAGCTCATCATCATCAGCACCACATCTGATACAAACAAACAAGCGCACAAAACCCCACGAAGCTGAAACCGACGACGACATAGAGAAAAACCTAATGGAGTGATTAGTGTGTCGATCGCTGATTATCGATCAACAACATATTACGATACATGGTACGCATCTCAATTAATCGCGTCTATATTACACACATTACTAGCACACATTCTGCAATTCGAATTGCAGCGCTAGCATCGTATGCAATTGCAGAATAAAGAAAAGAAAGAACGTGCTTCATCAATCATAAACAACAAAATGACTAAATTGACATTAATGCTGGCTGCTATAGTGCTGTTACTTGTTTGTACCCGGTTGTTACTTGGGAACCGAGAGAGATAGAGAAAAAGAGAGAGAGAAAAAAAGAAAAATAAAGAAAAAAGCTGCTATGAGTGAAAATATTGGCTAATTGAAAGCGATAAATGTCACTCGTGGATTTTTAATCAAAAATTTGCGAATCCTATCTTCTTGAAACTGCATATATAAATTGACGATTCTTGTTGCTTACGCTGCAAAATAGCAACACACACGACAAAATCTAACACCTCGATGAAATGATCGAATGAATTCAATTTGGAAATATGTGAACGAGATATCGGTTGCTTCTATTCTGGTTTAGTTTTATTTGTATGTGCAAACGTTTCATTTGATTTTGCTTTTCTTTGCCTCTACTTCTTATTATTCTTCGTTTTTTTTTCTCTGCAAAAGCGATTAAAAGTGAAAAGTGAAAAACGCTTTGACCAAGTTTCTCTTTCGATTTGTCGTGGCCATCGTGAAGAAGAAGAAGATTTCCCATGTCGTACATATCGTAAATATCAAAACATTCTAGCGAATGTATACGTAAGAAAACGGTTTTGGTGCGCAACCATGAACAAAATAAAAAGAAGAAGAAATAATACGAGCGGCAAACGTTTCTTTCATTGTGCACGAGAACATGTGTTTTGTGACATCAATTTGTGTGATTAAAGTACATCATTAAGTCAACACGACGGTTTCGGTGTTGCTGTAAATTGTGATAAAGGTAGAAGAGAGAGAGGGGGAAACCCCATACAATTCAAGTGAATTTCAAATAAGAGCATTTTTTTCCTACGTCACGCGAACACGCAAAATCGAATTGTGCGCTCCACGTTCAACTCTACTGACGAAAAGGTACAGTCATGGACTAAATTGAGCGTACGACTGCCAGAAAAATGTATCGCGGACTATTTCATGAACCTAATTTATTTTTTTTAATCAATTCTTTGCACTGTTTGTTGCGTAATTATGTGAACTAATAGCAAGGGGGAAACTACTACTACCTTGTAATTCATATTAATACAATCTAGTACAACACAAATTCTGAAAAATTCCAAAAAATTCTGCGCAATTCAAAACAATTCCAATCGATTTCGTAGTTCCTTAGTCAAATTTGGTGATGATCAAATCAAAATATCGCAAATATAGGGACATTTACCATTCATTTGAATGCATATTGAAGATTTTTACTTCCAGAACATATTCGACTTGGTTTGATCTACAAGACTCAATTCTAGCTCTGTTTTCCATTTTGAAAATATTTTATGTATCATAAAGCCTTTACCTATTTGAAGTGAAATATTGAATTGGAAGTGAGACCTATGTACAATTAAAAACGCCATATCTGAAAATATTTCGATAAGAATGAACATCTATGCGCTTCCTTTGAGATGCTAAATGACCCTATATTTGCAATTTTTGAAGTTGATCATCATCAAATTTGACTTAGAAACATCGGAATTGATTGGAATTGTTTTGAATTGCGCAGAATTCTTTGGAATTTATCAGAATTGGTGTTGTACTAGATTGTATTAATATGAATTATGCGGTAGTAGTAGTTTCCCCCTTGACTAGTAGTAACCGAGAGAATTTTGAATTTTTTTTTGGATTTTGTGATTTTTATTGAAAAATGTAGATGAATGTCATTTTTGTGCTGGACAAAATTGAGCGTACGGTCCGTTTAATATATGTTTAAATAGAGAAAATTCATGGAATTTGAAAAAAAGGGGATACAGTATGATGCACAAGCTCATGTTGCTTCGAAATGGTATATATGTTTTGCTCCACCGAACCGTTGTTTGGGAAATGGAGACGGTTAAACTTTTTTTTTATTTTTCACTTTTATCACCTTCAACACATATGAATATTTCTAGAACCAAGAATGATATTGAAGCATCTTAACCGGCGTTTGAAAGCTTGAGATTAGACCAACGAAATGCAATAATAACCAACCAAATATTTCAAGTACTTTAAAAGATGCAGCCGTGAAAGTATGACAGCTGATGTCAAAATAGCGCCATTTATTTGACATTTGAGGTTATAACTCACAAATGGTAAATTATTTTGACATCTTGTCTTGATCAAATTTACTCTACTCATCAAGTGCTACAACTATGCTGAACATGTCAATCCCAAAAACTAACTCCCTTAAAAAATAAACGCTGAAGTACCACAATGTGGAGTCCATGTAGTATACTCTTATATGGATCATTTCGTATTAACGGATTTTTGGCTGACAAGATGTTGTTTTTTGGAGATGACTAGAAGAGATAATTTTTTGTTCACATCAAGAACTGGAAATTTGCTCAATATTTTCTAGCAATTTCTAGCGATTTACAGTCTTTGGAGTGATCGGATCAGGTTTTTGTTGTATGAGACATATATTCAACTTTTCGCGAGCAATCCAAATATGTGATTAGTTTTGGGCGGTAAATTGAATTTCAACCCCAAATTAGGGTATTTTTGATTTTTTTTCAATTTTTACCTCTCACGCACCCTAGACTTGAATGGCAGCCCCAACCAAAGTGACAATCGATTCTTGACATCAGCATAAATACTTCGTCCATACATAGTTTCCTTCTAAAAAGACTCTTTATTCATGAAAAATCCATGTTTAGCGAAAACTACCCCAAATCCAGTACTAACTTTGTGTCACCCATATATTATTGTTATACTCGCTGCACCCTATCCATTGGCACCGGTCTCATTGCTAGACGCCAATGGCCCAAACCCCATACAAAACGGGACACGGTTCTTTTTTTTTTCGTTTTTTTCGCATTTTTGGGCGGTTTTATTGATAGAATGGAATGAATTAGGACAATTAATGATGATCTGGCGCAAAAGCCGTCAGGAATTTACCAATTTTTTGGATTTTTTTCGATTTTTAAAATTTTTCACGAATTTTTTTTTTTCGTTTTCCCTGGCATTTTTCTAGAAATTTCAATGCGATTGAACATATTTGGGCATAAAAAGAGGTTTTACATTGCAATTTTTCAATTTTTTTTAAACAATTTTTGAAGTCCTATAACTTCTCAATGACTCGAAGTAGAGCAATAGTATCCGTGGCAACTTTTTAGTACTCCTCAAGACCTTTGCATACCATGTTCTAAAAGTACTAAAAATGTACTAAAAAGTACTAAATTGTGGAAAATCTATACTTTTGGATATTTTTACGATTTTCAACATTTACTAGATTTTAGTACATTTTTAGTACTTTTAGAACATGGTATGCAAAGGTCTTTAGGAGTACTAAAAAGTTGCCACAGACACTATTACTCTACTTCGAGTCGTTGAGAAATTATAGGACTTCAGAAATTGTGCAAAAAAATTACAAAAAATCGAAAAAAAATTGAAAAATTTACAATGTAAAACCTCTTTTTATGCCCAAATATGTTCAATCGCATTGAAATTTCTAGAAATGCCAGGAAAAACGAAAAAAAAATTCGTGAAAAATTTTAAAAATCGAAAAAAATCCAAAAAATAGGTAAATTCCTGACGGCTTTTGCGCCAGATCATCATTAATTGTCCTAATTCATTCCATTCTATCAATAAAACCGCCCAAAAATGCGAAAAAAACGAAAAATTTTTTTAAAGTTCGCACTTTAATTAAAGTTCGAACTTTAACGAAGAATCTCAAAAAAATTCAAAAAATTAATGAAACCTTCGGATGTTTTGATGCAAAACATCATTATTGGGCCCAACAATTTTCATAGCAACGAAAAATTTCAAAAATATCCACTAACAAAAATTTTGACTTTGAACTGTGTCGTTGAGAATAAAAATGGGATTAGCCGAAACCGCGTGTTTTTATGCGAATCATTTTTGTGTTTCTGGTACAAGATATGGGGCAAGTATCTCAAGCAAAGATAAAGATCTTGAAATATTCTAAAACATTGCAGCAGACATATGTCTTCTATCTCTTACCAGGAACATAAAAATGATTCACATGTAAATGAGCGGTTTCGGCTAATCCCATTTTTATTCTCAACGACACAACTTTAATTAAAGTTTGAGCACTTGGAATCAGCATTACACCATTTTTAGCCGCCGCCTTTTGTTGGCCGGGTAGAGAACGGGTGACAGCGGCAAACATCCATCACATTTCTTTATTCGTTACTAAGTGGGTGATAACCCAGCATATGCACTACCTGATTTAAAAGCTCATCGAAATGTTCCTGAACTTTCGTTTTTTTTTGTTGTTGTTGTCATTCAACCTTGTGAAAACGTTGTCGTCTTTTTTTTAGTACACTTTGCACAACGTCCTCGGTCACACATCACATTAAATATTAGTTTGAACTTAATACAAAAGAAAGCATCTCGCTAATGAAAGTAAAAGCCAACTGGAAATTACATGCACAATGTAATTTCAAGCAGAGATTTATTTTGAAGAAAAGAAAAAAATTATTAGTTTAATTGTTGGCATGGATATGTTAGATGTTTGTACAATTGCATGTTATCGAAAGATTTTGACAAATGTTGACTCGTTTGAAAACGCCACTCATAATGTCAGAAACATTTGGGTCATTTCATGGACTGTGAACATTAAAAAGTTTTCAAAGCGATTCGAGTAAGAAAGAAAGAGAGAAACGAAACAAACACTGAGTTGAAATGAAGAAGATGAACAACAACAAAAATAACACCGAGTTAAATTAAACTGAAATAAAGACAATGGATCACCATCAAATAATACTTCCTCATAAATTACTATAATTAATAAAATTATTGGCATTAATAAATTCACGCTTTGTGTACAGTACATACACTGAGGTATAGCAATAAAACTGTGCTTTATGAAGATGATTAGCGCGCTCGTGCGAATGGCACCTTACAATTTCAACAGTCGAATTACCATCATTTCATTTTCTCTTTTCTTTTCATCTTTCTCCTCGCGCGCGCGTCGTTGACTCACACTTAGTTCTTTTAAATGGTCATAAATTCCGCCACTTTTTTCTACCTTTTACTTGGCGTTTTTTTCACTCGCTGTTAAAGCACCCCAAGAGAAACGGCCAATATGTTTATACGCTGTCTATCCGCCGAAAATACACTACAATATATATTCACGCTTATTGGACGCCGAATTGAATTATGTATGTTCGAAGTATTCTTCAGCGTGAAACATATTGAATCAATGAATGCATTCATGGCCACCAGAGGGCGCCTGAATATGTTTCAATATGTTTCACGCTGAAGAATACGCCGAAAATACACTAGAATATATACTGAATTCGGCGTCCAATAAGCGTGAATATATATTGTAGTGTATTTTCGGCGGATAGACAGCGTATAAACATATTGGCCGTTTCTCTCGGGGTGCTTTAACAGCGAGTGAAAAAAAAACGCCAAGTAAAAGGTAGAAAAAAGTACATTATTCGAACGTTATGTAGTTGGTATTTTAAACGGAGTCGGGCTTATATGATGGGTCAGTTATTGAAGTTCGAAAATGTTTCAGCACCGTACCAACCGAAACCGTATCCAACATTTGATAGCGAAACGACAAAATGCACGATTTCCATTTATGGTGTCGCAAAAGCTGTAACCACACTCGCGTACCGATTTCGATTTCAATTTCGGCATAGAGAAAAAAGAAGCGACAGCAACACAGTAGCTGCAGTAACAGCAGCAGCAGTAGCGTGAGAGACGAGAAACGATATTGCGAGTACATTGTATAAATGCGTTGCAAAGCCGAAGGCCATTTATCAATATCAATATGCACTTCAATGTGCATATTAAAATTTTTTTATGGCATCACATGTTGCTCACAGTTTTTTTAAAGCATTAACTCAATGAAGGGAGTCGAACCCACTGAAATAGAAATACCAAATTTCATCATGGCTTGAAAAACACGGCTTGAAATACAACATATCATCATCATCATTTTGTTGTGGTTGAAAAAACGTTCAACATGTAAATATTTTGACAAGATGAAAAAAATTGCAATAACATTGCATTTTTTTGCTGTTTCTATCGTTCGCAGGGAACAATCAATGAGATTGAAGTCTTTCAATTCAATTCGTCCTCATTATGAGACGGCCTAATGATGACTTTTTTAGTTTTATATTCAATCATTTTGGCGTACAAGGGTTTATCAAAAGCAGAAAAACAAATCAAAGGTAAGCACCCGACTCGGCATCTTGTCGTGTACCATTTTGCATGAAGATTCTCAATTTAACATTTCAATTTCGAAAAAAAACTTACACATTTTCAGCAGATTGTGGAATGAAAATATTTCGTCGAGAGCCACGTTTCGAGCCATATAGTAGTCGGTCAGCTAGAATAATTGGCGGTTCATCATCGAGTGACGGCGAATTTCCATGGCAAGTTCTTATTCACAGCTTAAATGATTTGAAAAGATTAAACACACGCACAATGAATACATCCAAAAGAAAAACAGTGCATCAATATCCAGGCATTTATAAAATGGTTTTGATTTCAGGCAAGTATCGTTAGAAGTGCTACATCCGATTTATGGGTTTCTCGGTCATTGGTGCGGTGGTGTGCTCATCGATAATTCTTGGATCATATCTGCTGCACATTGTATCAACAAGTAAATTCAGACATTTATTGAGCTACTCAAAAGCCGATAATTTTTCACTAAACTCATGTTATTTCCCTTTTTTTCTCTATTGAAGCGATATATTTAATTTGCCATTGCCTGCACTGTGGACAGCGGTTTTAGGTGAAAATAATCGACACTTCGAATCGGGCCATGAACAACGGATTTCCATTGAGAAAATCATTACGCATAGTCATTATTCACATTATGATCACGACATCGGTAAGTGTTTGTGATCTTTTGTTTCTTTTCCCAATTGAATTTATACATATTCACTTGACCGGTAAATCATTTTCGTTATTCCAAATCAAAAACCAAAATAGTTTTACTGAAGCTAGCTGAAACCGTCAAACTGGACAATTTTATCAATAAAATCTGCTTGCCAATACAAAATGAGCTTACGTATTTGCTCGACGAGCATCTTTTGAACAATGTGATTGAGGATAGGAAGTTTAGTATCAACAAGTAAGTTGTTCTATCGTTTTATATATTCGTTACTTTCAATATGCCATATATTGCCCAAAGGGAAAAAAATGTCAAACACTATCAAAACGTCATCTCTGAACTAGATGTGAGGCGAGAAAAACAGAATGCATTAAAACTTAAAACAAATATGCTTAGGCGGTTTGACATCGAGACCGTTCCGTTTTTATGTTTTTTTTTTCATTCTTTGATGAAAGTTAGTAGATACTTAACCGCATTTATAATTTCGTTTTTGCATAATTTTTTTTTCTTTTCTTTTTTCTATTGTCAATTGTTTTTTTTTCGACGCTTTTCTTTTGTAGAAAAATGCGACCGGCCCAGCGACGGCGAATAAATGACAGATTTATGCGCTTTGATAATGAAGATAGGCATCAAGAGAAGAAATTGTATTCAAGTTCAGACAGTTTGTACGATGGTTCGGCCAGCAAATTGGTAAGCTTGCATTCATTTCTTTTATCGCGTGCGCGCACTCGCGCTCACTCGTCGTGCTCTCTCATTTTGCGAAATATTCATCATCGATAACGATCACGGCAAAAACATAAAAAAACTATGCAATTTGTTTATAGTTCAAGACACACTCGACAGTTGAAGAGAGAGAAAGAGAGAGAGAGAAAGACATAGAAAGAAATTCCTACATGGCTACATTTTTCATTTCTTTTCTTTTCCTTCTTTCTTTTTTTTGACATTAAATACGCAATTGAACGTATGTCAGGAACCACCGTATATTGAATGCGTTGCTACCGGTTGGGGAATGAGCTATAAGGATGGTGAAAAGTTATCGGATAATCTCATAAAAACCAGAGTGCTGATTTTCGATAATGAAAGGTATCGTATAATGATTCTTCATGTGATTTTGATTCGGATATGCACACAGAAATCGAAGTGACAGCAATTGGCAATGAATTACGAAGAGGAAAAAAAAGAAGCGAGACATAAACTCTCTCAACAATCCGAATGGAACGGAAATAATGTCATGTTGTGTAGTAATTTTGTATCCCATTTATAACCGTACACATAAAATGCAAATGAATCACGTCGCGCCCCCGGCGGGCAAATCAATTTTTTCGTGTGCATGTTCATTTTAAGTTAGATCAATTTTTTAATCGAGTCCAATGATTTGTTAGATGTCAAGAGGTTTACGGTGAGCATGTGAATATTCATGAGGGTCATTTGTGCGGTGGTGCAATAAATGGCAAAGGCGGAACGTGTGTAGGTAAAAGCAAACAATATCTTTCACATTAAAACAAAAAATATAAAACGGAAACTGAATGGAAACTGAAATCTTGTATCTGGTTGCTATTGCTGCATAGCATGCACGCCACATATATCAGATGGAAAATAGTTACATATTTTCACCGTTTTTTCATATAGGCGATAGTGGTGGCCCATTAAATTGCCGATTGCACAAAAATGGGCCATGGGTGCTAGCTGGAATCACATCGTTTGGCTCAGGATGCTCCAGTTTTGATGGTAACCCCTACCATCCGGACGTTTACATTCGGATATCGTATTACATCAAATGGATAGTAAAAACGATGTCACAAAACTGAAATGAAATGAAAAGAACGGAAAGCAAAGGCATTTTTGTTCGAAGGAAAAAAAAATTATTTATTATTGTAGTTTGTGAAATTCTATTTTTACTTTTGTTCACCAATTTGTTCTTCAAAATAAATTATTTCTCAACCTTTTTTCCCAAGCTTTTTTTTTACTTTTTCCTTAATTATGGTGAGTTGATGATTGTTTTGAAATGAAGCGGGAATATTTAAAAATGGAATCGCTCAAAAGATCTTTTTGAAATTGAAATTCCTTCAAAATACAACTTCCCGTGTGCGAATATTATAAATGACCAGTCAGTTAACTAATTCCGCACAAAAATGACTTACTTTGATTGACATTTCAGTACAAAGTGTAGTGTAAGTCTATCAAAGTTAACTGAAATCGTTTAAAGTTACAAGTCCAAATAAATTGTTTATTTTGGGACAAAGTGATTTTCTTCATGCAAAAACATAAATTCAATCAACTATAGTCAACTGAATCTAAAGTCAGTCAATCATTTTTTTTCCAAACGGGTTTATATTAACTTCGGCAAGATAGATTTTTTTACATCAACTGTTTTTTCTTCTTCCAAGCTTTTAATGTACGAAACTTTGTTTTTCATATACTTTTGCTTTGCCGTTGGCTTCGAAGCTAGTCACGAAAACACCATGCAATGCCATCTACACCGAAAGCTTGGCGCTGTTCAAAGTTTTTCCGCTTGCATCCATGCTTTGTATTAATTTCAATAGGAGCGTATGTCGGTCAAAGCCATGCGTGTGAATCACATTTTTTGTTCGATTAGCTCATTCTTCAATAATAATGGCATTCTTTTAATGATAAACACACAATTGCATCTAAGATATAAAATTACACACCCGTCTATTGTGATGTGGTGTGCAATGTTGTAAACTGCAATTTAAAAATCATTTGATTCGTTATTTTATTTGTGAACGGGTCATTTTCTATGTAAAAGGTGTTCATTACTATGTTTTCCAGGTTGTTTAACAAATTCATTTGAAACTGAATTCTTTGTCCACATAAACGGCAAATTAGTAAGAAAAAAAGTAGCACCGAATACAAAGCATAGATGTGAATGATTTCTACGTGTTATAATGCGCCAACACATATAGTTCTCGCTCTGGTTGCATCAATTTGCCGAAAAAATCTGGCGTAACGGAATTGAAAAGTTCATGCATTATGTGTTGAAACTTTAGAACGAAACCGAGGACTCTCGGTGGATTTTTCAGTTGGAATAACACGATTTTTTGCGACAAGAATGGTATAAAAGTGATATGGATTCTCTGGAAATGCATCAGTTCGTCGCTTCAGTTGCAAGTCTCAACAAAGTATCAGCGGATAACCGAAAACTCAAACTCAAAATGCAAATCGTCAAAGTAATTAAATTTGATTCAGTGCTAAGTGATTTAATACTAATTTTACCAACTAAATATCCTCTGGGACTTTTTTTGAAGATTAAATCAAGAATCAAAAAATGTTTTTGAAAAAATTAAACCGAACCAAAAACGAATTTCTTCTTGTTTATTTAGGTTTTGTTCAGTTTCTTTGTAATTGGATTCGTGGCAGCAAATCCACTTTTGTCGAATCGCAACCTTGATGGATACGTGAGTGTCAATTGAACTATACAATTGAATTCGATATTTTTTCGTTCGTTCGATGTGTTTGTTCAAAAAAAAAATTGTGATTAATTTCATTTAATTGGGTACTAGACTTATCCTTCGTACACCTACAATTATGCGGTGTCGGATGATTTCACCGGTGATCAAAAATCACAGCAAGAAACACGTGACGGTGACATTGTGAAGGGACAATATTCACTGGTCGAACCCGATGGCTCCGTACGTACAGTCGACTACGAAGCAAATGACATCAGTGGCTTTAATGCGGTTGTCTCCAAAAATGGATTGTCTATTCATGGTTTGGCTCAGCCAGTCTTAGTCGCCTCACCACGTGCAACATCATACTCCGTTCAACGTGGCCCATTGAACCGTAACTTATTCTTCACCTACGGAAACTGGCAACAACAACAACAACGAACACCAGCTAGCACCGTCGAATACATTGCATCAAACAATCAATTCTTGCCATACAACTCAATCAACTCAATCTCATACGGATACAATGGCCAAGGATCGCTCTGGTAAATGTTTAATTCTACATGGAGGATATTTCCAAATATTTTCTATTCTTCTACTTCTTTGTCCCATCATCCAAACAAACAAAGTAATTTAAATTTTTTAAAAAACGAAAAAAAGAAAACCAAATAATCTGAAACATACCTCTGTACGTGTACTACACTCATTTTCAAAGTAATAAACACCATTAATACCCGCTTTATCCGCTAATTGAACATAAGCATTGTTTTATTTTCCCCTCAAATTTATGAGTCTTTGCGGATCAGTTTTATCGCTTGAAGAAATCTGTTACGACATTGAGAGTCCTCGAGAAAACTGGATGTATCGCATAGCCAAAGATCATCACAAAAGTGATACAAATATTGACCTATAATAGCATACAGACAGTAATTAAGATCATGCACAGAGATGACATTCTAAAACCAAACCAAAGGAAGGAATGGAAAAACAGACAAATTAAAAAAAAAAAGACAATTCGAATACTCACATCGGGTTTTACGGTTGGGACAGCATGCTGTTAATGAAATACAAATAGCCATTAATCTATCTTGATTTCGTCTTAATTGAATTGTTCGGAATGAAATTCTCTCGGTGGAATTTATTCGGAGCACCCGGTCTCATTTTAAAATATAATACTCATTGGCCATCATGCTCGGTGCGAACAACAACAAAATAATGAACAAAAGAAGAATGGAGTTCATCTTTTGGGTCACAGTTCAGTGGATGCACGGCATTGGACAGCACCGTTTGTTTTTGTCTTTTGATCGCATTAGATGTTTCGAATTGTGTGTGTGCGTGTAAGTGTGTGTGTTAAATCGACTTCCAATAAAATATGCCAATTTTCGACACAGCACACACACACAGAAAGCGAAAAATGTGCATGAAAAAATTGTGTCGGTTCGTGGCGACGACAGCAAACTAGATGATTTATGGACACGATCGTCTCTAAAAGCGGAAATGTGCAAGTCATTTTCTGTGGCCATACGTGCACTTCATATTACGACACATATATCTAACCTCTGTTGTTTTGCCATGTATTTTTTGCCTTCGATCTATCTCTTTCTGTTGATTCCCGTGGCATTAGCTTCTTATGGACAAAAGATCATGTCATTGCATTGAAAAAAAACGATCGCAATGATTCTTGATGAGAAACGGTAGTGCAGGCCAATGAAAATGCTGGCCATTCTGGTGTAAGCCAACAGCTCAATCGAACGGTTACAACATTCATATGGCAGAAGAAAGAAAGAAAAAACAATATGGCCGCAGAAAAACAAACAATGGAACGCGTGCCAATCGCATATTTCGTTGTGCACAACAGCGTGATATGTTTATCATGTGCACTAATTTGCCTAGATTACCTCTGTTCATTGATCGAAAATCATACATTCTTCGACATAACACGACCAATATAATCGAAATCCGTTCAAATAAAGACAAGAGTGAGGCATAAAGCTACAGCAACCGATAGAAAAATCAAAGTAGTGAAAAAGGAACGAAAACAACTAGCGCAACTATGGTACAATTTAATTGGCAATGGATTGCATTCAATCATATTGAAAATGGGAAATACATCGAATGGTTGAAACGAGAGAGATGAAAGAAACGAGGAATCAAAGTTGCACAAAGTACAACGAAAACATCGATCCGAATAAATAATAGCGTTCACACCAATTAAGAAAAATAATCAATTATCCAGGTTATTCATTGCTATTATTTCCACCTATTATTATTATTTTTTCTCTACATCGTGTCTGCTGCTGCCTAATTATGAAACGAATACGCAAAATATGTCCACAGGACCTTAAAAAAATATACGTTCATTTACACGGTACTTTGCACTGATGTGAATAATTCAGTGCCGTAGATCAGTGTGAATTTGCCTTCCAGCCAAACACAAACTTTGCTGATACACACTTCATGTGGTGCTCGTGCATTAACCGAGTGTGGTAAAGACAAGAGAGATGGCATAGAGGATAAAGACACCATCCATTAATTTTAACTAAAATATGAACTTGCAAATCGACACCACAATTGGCCACCGTCTATTGTGTGGCAATTTCAACGAAATAACGGAAGCAACAACGGTGTGTGTGAGTGTGTGTGTGTGTACAACTACGAAACAAATGCTGGTTGGCCTGCAGTTCAGATTAGTTTCGGGAAACTGGCATACATCACATCTCTCATCCTTGCGCGCCGAGAATTTTTTGCCACGTAATTTAAATACAATAATAATAGTAATGTGTTAATTGTTTCATAGATGTACATGTAGAATGGCATTTTGAAGTTTTTGAGCGCAAATAGCAAAACATCGGTACATAAAAGCATTAATTGTGTATATAATTACGACGCCAGTTAAGTACGTATGCACAATCATGTATCTGTCTATCCCGATGCCTTTAGCACTTGGTGCTGAAAGAGCCGTGAGCACTCTGGCACTTTAAACGCTGGCACAAAACATGAAGAAAAAAACGAGAAAAACAAATTTGCATAAAATGAAATGTTTTCGATGTTTCTAACTTACATGCCTTACTGTGCGTTGTTTACGTGTTATTGTTGTTTTACGGTTTTGAGACTCTTTCCAAGATTTAGTTTTCACACCGTTGGATTAACGTAGATATCAATACACGTCTTAATCAATGTCAGATGCATGACAAATTTTTCATTTTATTTCATTCCGTAACTTTTATGACAAGAAACACACACACACACACACCCATACATTACAATGAAACAGATGGAATAGCGAACACAAATTACAAGTAATGAAGCAAGTCAATTACAAAAGTGTCAGAATGATTCTGATTTTCTATTAAATAGTTGACTGCATGAAAATGTGTGGTCCCTGCGGAACTATAGTTCTGGCTTATAATTACCGAGTACGTTTTTTTCTCTCTTCTTATTCGATTTTCCTTCGTTGTTGCTTTTGGTTTCGACTTGATCGCCAATTTTGGCAACAATAGATTGTATCAGAGCGTGATTTCTTCATTTCAGCGATCGACGGCCGCTCTCTGTGTTTCAATTTTGGTTTTTCTTCAACTTTCGATCGAATATTAGCTAACGGTAAATATGAGGTAATTGTTTTCAGGCTGTGACTTGAAACGAAAGAAGGTTTCACACTGGATGGACACACAGCGGACAACAGTTGTTGGTGAATAGGCTGGCGCGTGAATACAATTGTTGCGTTGTTTCTCTCTTTGCTTATACCAAAAGACAGTTGCCGCCACAGTTATTTTTGCTGCTGCTGCTATTGCTATTGGATGGGAAATATGCAAACGAAAGAGACAGTGAAGAAGAAGTAGCAACAGCAGCAGCATCATTGTTGATGATGTCTCGGTGCACGAACGCCTATTCTTTTCATCGTCGTCTCCTCTATCTCTCTTTTGTTGTCGGCTCTATCTCACATGTATGAACCGTTCCGTTAATTCAAAATCGCGGCAATGAAGGTCATGCTTTTGTTTTCATTGATATACTTTTCGGGTGGAACGTTTTCTTTCAACTTTTGTGGCGTCTTCTTTTTCGTTATGTTTTTTTCTACTGCAGTATATGTTACCGCCTCTCATGAGTGTTCAATTTTTGTTGCTTTTGATCTGTTTTTTTCTTCTCACTTGAATATAATCATAGGTTGAATTGTCGAGTATTCAAATGAGAGAAGAAAAAAATGAATTTTCATCCGTTCGTTTGGAGAAATCCAACCAAGTGTCCATTCAAATCATTCAAAATGAATAAAAGGGTGTCATAATGGCCAACTTCTGGTCTCAAAGCGGTAGAACCTTTCACTCATGAATCATAAATGAAAATTATATCGGGAACATTTGAACGAACATGACCCTATCGTGCGAGGTTCGGTGGCTTTGTACTACAGTATGTAACCGAATTCGTTGCGTTTTCCGCTCGATTTTCCGAACCATCGTAATAAATTCGGATATAAGAATTTAATATCTGGCTGATGAAAACAAAATCAATTGATAAAAACGAGTGTCGAGGCAAAACTCTGACAAATGGCTTGGGCGAACACAGCTATCTACACCACGGCAGAACAACCATTACATACATTTGAATTTTTTTTCAATATAAGTGTTATTTCCAATAAAGCGTATAATATCCAATTCAGAAAAGAAAAAAGAAAAACAGTGAAAAATCAGCGCAAAAAGACGAATTTTACACTTTATTACGGAATATTACGTTGTATTTATTTTTCTCTTCTCTCTTTAAAATGAGCAATTGGCCTAGGTCGTGTCGTGCTGCCGTGGTTTTCAAAGTCTTTTTATTTGCCACAATTTTTCAATTGTGATTGTATATTTTGACAATGTGAAACAATATACAGTCGCAGCAACAGAATATAGCAACAATTTTGTTTTCTCTTCTGCACATTTATTCTTTAGTTTACGCGCGCGCGCACATTCTCGCATCCATAAAACGTCAACAATTTGGAAATTAATTGTTACGTCCTGTGTCGATTTCACGACATGATCCATAATTACATCTCTCATTATTCAATTAGAAACAATGCAAACTGTCCAATGGAATATTTCGGCCGTTGGGCTCACGTCTCTTTGCTGTTGCTACTGTTGTTGTTGTTGCTAGTTGTGGGCTGTGGTTTCATTTGTTGCCTTCCATCAATTATTGTATTTTCTTTCAACAAGCATTCAAATTCAGAAGCAAACCGAAAAAAAACGAGAAATAATCGACGTTTTTATGGCTATTACACCATTTAGCGTTTTGCTGATTTCATGTTCGTAATAAGTTTTTTGTTACTTTTTCGCTTTTCGAACAAAACGAGAGAATGAGCACGAACAAAGAAGAAAAAAAGAAACAATTGGTAAAATCGCCCAAAAATGATACAACAACTGACGTCGAAATGAAATAGAAATGCGAATCATATTCGGGCCTATAACAGTTATTTTTGAGCAATTGTTTTACACAAAATTGACGATCTGTTTATTGTTTTAGATGGCGGGTTAAGTGTGCGTTCAACTCTCCTGTCATAAGATACGCAAGCTGCATGTTTTTTGCTGCCATTGAATATTATCCTCGTTGAACAAACATACCTCAGTGTGAGACTGAGGCACACAATAACACGCATTGCAATGGTAAAAAATAACACAATTAATGTCATCAACCGCGTTTATTTCATCATACGCTTGCACCGAGACTACCTAAACTGGACACCGTTCAAAATATTTGGTCATTTTCCATTATTACGCTCATTT